AAGGAGTGGCTGGTGGGCTTGAACTGCCAGCCTTCTGGTTAGTGGTCAAGTGCCTTAGGCACTACGCTACCAGAACTCCTCCATAAAAATTTACAGTCTTGGAAATACAATGGAGTCAGAAGTGACTCAATGGCAAGGGGTTTGGTTAATTTCTTTCATCCTTTTAATATTCTCCATTATATCTTCCTGTAGACTCCTTTCAAGTTGTATGAAGAATTTTAAATGTTTTTTGTGTAAATTACAGAAGAAAAGACAAAATTATTCCAAATTTTAAAATAGGTAAACATAAGAAAATATGAACTCCATTCCTAATCAGGAATAAAAGCCAACTGGAAGTTATTCAATATTAAAAATTAAAATTATTTAGAAAAGATAGTAAAATTATTTATTAATTTTAATTACTAAAAAGATCATATGGATTTTAGCATCATTTGAACTTCAATCACCAGTTCATGGTTTACTCCCAGGTCTTCAAATTAAAAATAGCAAAGCAATGAATTTTTGCAAACAAATCAAGTCCTTTCTTAGTGAAATTCTTTATTATTCTAAATTTGATAGAATTTAGATTTCATAAAGAGGAAGTCTGATAAACTTTTACCTGTTTTGTTTTTATTTACTTTCATAAAGGGGAAAGCCTGCAGAAAAGCACAGTGAAAATAGGTACAGTGAAACCTGTGAGAGTCAGACATTTATAGGACTACCTTGTTTTTCTGAGTCTCACAAGTTTTCTGTCTTTGATAGGGTGCAGCATAACCACTTTTTGAAGGCTCATTATATCAGAAAATATTTGCATTTTCCTTCTCTGAAAGGTTTCTGCCTTATATATTCCATCTTCTGCAGGTTTTAATGTGTAAGTATCATATAAGTGACACAGATAGCAGGTAGAAAAAAGAGACAGTGCAGACTGCCTGCATAAAATTTGCTTACTACATTATTTAGATATTGCAAAATCTTATTAAAAGGAACTAGGAGTCAATGGATCAGCAAGGAAGTAAACAATAAATTTTACTGTGGCACATACCTCTTAGGACTCAATTGGCTTCTAGCAAATAAACACAACTCAGATTTTCTCAGGTTACTATTATCCTGTCTATCAACAAAAATTGCAATAGCTTTAAATTTTAAGATTAAGTTGTGAGTTCTTATGACAGACTTTCTAATGCTTAGGTTTCTAGGAGAGGAGAGGAATAGCTTTAAATTCTCTACCACACTGCCCTGCTCTCTTAACATTCAGACTTCCACCATCTGGGGGTAAAAATAGAAAACTACTATGAATGTGTGGAACCCTGACCTAGCTTTTAGAGTGATAGAGCCTCTATATCATCATGTTTATGATTCAAAAGCTAGGATTGTTTAAGCTAAGGCAATGAGGAAGACAGTTTGTCAGTAAATTCAGTCTTTGTTAAGGTTTTAGGACCCAATAAAACCAGCTAATCAGAGAACTACTAAAGCACCTATGTGGTCCAAGCAAAAATTGTTGTGTTGTTATTTGGTTCTGATTCATAGCAACTCTATGTACTACTGTATAAAACACTGCCCAGCTGTGCACCATCTTCACGCTTATTGCTATGATTGAGCCTGTTGTTGCAGCCACTGTGCCACTCTGATTCATTGAGATTCTTCTCTTTTTCACTGACCCTCTTCTTTACCAACCATGATAATTTTCTCCAGGGACTAGTCGCCCCCACACACTTATAATATGGTTAAAGTACATGAGACAAATTCTTGCTATCTTCACTTTCAAGGAGCATTCTGGCTGTATTTCTTCCAAGACAGGTTTGTTCCTTCTTCTGGCAGTCCATGGTAGAGTCAATATTCTTTGTCAACACCATAATTCACAAACATCAAGTCTTCTGGGTCTTCCTTATTCATTGTCCAGCTTTTGCATGCATATGAATGATTGAACACACCGTGGCTTGGGTCAGGTGCATCTTAGTTCTCAAAGTGACAATTTTGGTATTTAACATTTTAGAGAGGTCTTCTGCACCCAGATTTACCCAATGCATTATGTCATTTGATTTCTTGACTGCTGCTTTTACAAGCATTGATTGTGGATCTAAGTAAAATGAAATCATTGACAACTTGGAAACAATTAGTCCAAATATAAGATGGACCATGAGGATCTCAGCTACTGTGACCCCAAAACCTAAATGGTGCCCAGCTACCAATATCAACTGCTTGGAAAGGGATCAAATCTGGAGATGATGGAGAGTGGAAGGAAAAATGTTGAGCAAAATTCGAAAACACAAAACTGACCAGAATATCTGGTTGGAATGAGACTCGTGGAACCCCTGAGATTATGGCCCCAAGTTACCTTCTGGGCCTAGAAATTGACTCATTTACATGGATTGGCTTTCAGCCTAACAGTAGAAAGACCTACATACAAAATGCTTACCACAGGTTGATGCGTCCATCTACTCTAGGGAGATGCACCCCTTGGATCAATCATTCATGAGACACCAGAGGGCTAGCACTCAAATAGAAGGAAAGGTGGACAACAGAAATTCATAGATAAGAAAGACACAGGGAAGAGTGGTCACAGGGAAGAGTGGGGAGGAGAATTTTTTATGGTTGGAGACTGTAAATGGGGCTGTGAAATCAAATGTGCATGAAATGTTGAATGCAAAACAAGCTTGCTATGCAAATTTGCACCCAATGCACAATTTAAATAAAGGGAGCTCTGGTAGCATAGTGTCTAAGGCACTTGACTGCTAACCAGAAGGCTGGTGGTTCAAACCCACCAGCCACTCCTTGGAAAGAAGATGGGGAAATCTACTTCTGTAGTGATACTGCCTCAGAAACCCAAGGAGGGGTTGCTATGAGTCGGGTCCGACTTGATGGCACATAACAACAACAAGCACAATAAAAAAATATAAAATTAAAATGGAAAAATCCTTGACAACTTTAATTTTTTTTTTCATTTGTCACAATGTTACTTACTAGTTCCTTTGTGGGGAATTTTTTGTTTTCTTTATGTTGAGGGGTAACCCATATTGAAGGTTGTAGCCTTTGATCTTCATCTGTAAGAACTTCAAGTTGTCTTTACTTTCAGTTACCAAGGCGGTATCATCTGCATATCAAGTATTGCTAATGATTCTTCCTTCAGTCCTGATGCAGCATTCTTCTTCATACATTCCAGCTTCTGAGATTATTTCCTCAGCATACAGATTAAATAACTATAGTGGAAGGATACAACCCTGAATCACACCTTTCCTGATTTTAAAACATGCAGTATCCTCTTGCTCTGTCTGAGTGACTGCCTCTTGGTCTATGTACAGGTATCTCATAAAAACAATTACATCTTCTAGAACTTTCATTATTCACAGCGTAACCATATTTTGCTACAATGCACATGGTCAATTGTCTTTGCATAGTCAATAAAACACAGGTCAACATCTTTCTGGTATGCTATGCTTTCAGACAAGATCCATCTGACATCAGCAATTATATCCCCTGTTCCATGTCCTCTTTGGAATCCAGTTTGAAATTCTGGCAGTTCCTTATTGATATACTGCCACAACTGTTTTTTAATTATCTTCAGCAAAACTTTATTCATGTGTGATATAAATGATATTGTTGCATAATTTCTGAATTCCAGAAAAAGTTAATGTTATAAGTGGTCATCGTTTTTAATGACCTCATCCATTAGAGTGCACTATAAGAGACATATGGTAACATCACTTTTAAAGGTCATAGGTGGCTTTATATGCCCACCACGTGGATTTCAAAATGAAAGAAGTTGTCAACAGCTCAGTTCTTATTCATTATAATCATTTCATGTAGGAAATCTTTCAAAGGTGAATGAAACTTTTGTGCTCATGAAAGATGAATTTTTATCACTTGAGCTTCATAGTGGCTTGGGATTAGAGGATCATAGAAGGTAAAGTGATCATCAGTTAATGTCAGATTATCCATCCTTATCCTTGAGGGAAATAGGAATAATTATCCAGAATGTTGGTTTACTACATCATATATTAGGATCTCTAAGTGTGTGTGTGTGTGTGTGTTTGCTTTTGAAAATCACTATGTCTCTTCCCCAAAGTAAACTCTCTAAGGTCAAAAATGATGTGTTATTCATTTTGGAAAAAAGTGTGGGTGGACAGTAAGATTTGATAAATGGTTCATTTAAGATTTGATAAAAGGTTCAAACCTTATTCACAGTCTTCCTGATTTCTTTTGAAGTAATAATCTTTCCAAGGTCTAACTTGACTTATTACTTCTTTTATATCCATGTCATTCAATCTCTCTAAGCCTCTCTTCCTTAATCTGTAAACTGGGAACAAAAAACTAACTTTACATAATGTTAAAACCAAAATAGATAAACAGAGGGAAATAGGCATTATAAAACTGGGTATTGTACATATATGCCATTTTTATGAAAGACAAATCAAAATGTGTAAAAAAAAAAAAAAGAAAAGACAGGAAAAAGGAATGAGGAAAATATAATGAGAGTGTAATGGAAAATTGAAAATCCTGCTTTCCCAATTCTTAGTCTATCTGTCCTGGTTTTACTATGTCAATTTTGAAATCTTGACTTCATCTACAAATGTTGATTAGCCCTTTGATAATACACAAAACTATCACCTAAGTGAAATCTCATGCTATATATTCAAGAAACTGCTGGGGAAAAAAAATAACAAATTTTACAGTAAATGCCTTATGTCGTTACAGTTCTTCAAGCCTAAAGTAGTCTCCAGATCTCACCTTCATCATTTCTCTCATTTCCTTTTGGTCTAATTAATCAAAATCCTTCCTAGAAAGTTCATTTCTGGCCACTATGTCTTCCTGAATATGAATAAGAAATAAAATACCATTTGATGTTTGAAATTATGGGGGTAATCTCAATGACGGAAATGGATGACCAGGTAAAGGGAAGGAATGCCTGATTAATATATTCACGAAGATGTCAAAGACTTATAAAGCCACTATCTGGGAAAGGGAAAGGTGTAGTAGTTCCAGATCTTCCCTGGTGAAGGGTGCTTCCTGCAATTATCACCACTATGGACAACAAGGTGTCATCGCAAAAAGGTATGTGCAACAACTGATCCAGTTGTTGGCTTTATCAACACTCCTTTGGGGGTATTCATTTGAAATTTTAGCCAATTTTTGTTAGCAAAATGTTTCAAGTTTTCAGCTTTTAGAAGCTGTGGAAAGCCAAGGAGAAAAGAATAGCAGTTCTCAGCCAGGGGTGATTTCTCTACCTAAGAGACATGTGACAATATCTGGATATGTTTTTGTTTGTCATAACTTAGCTTCTTCCATCTAGGCACCAGGGATTCTGCTGAACATCTGACAATGCATCTGACACCCCTCCACAAGAAGGGATTATGCAGTCCCAAATGTTGAGGTTGAGAAGCCCTGGACTAGGAAAAGACCAGACGAGTTTATGTGTCCAATTTTTTTTTACATCTCAGAGGGTAGAAACTAAGGTTTGCTGGCTCCTAGAACTCCTATGTGTTTTGGAAAAGTTCGATTAGCCTGATGAAAACTTTCAATTCTGAGCTATGATAAAGACAGTGATAACATATCTGTCTCTTAGACTACTTTTTCAATTTGGTCTAAATCAAATGACATTTTAATAGAAATAATAGGCTAGTAATAACTAATTACCATCGCTTTCTTGGGTGATATTTGCAAAGAAAGGAAATTAGTAACAATAATAAAATTTATTTTTTGAATCAAAAACAAAAGCATTTGCCTATTTTACATCATCTTACGTTGTAAAAATCCTTCCAATGATAAAAATGCAGACAAAGACACTCAGAGTTAAAAGAAAAAATCTATTCAATTGTATTAATTTCCTAAAGCCAATATTTCAATTTCTCTACCTATAAAGCTCATTTCATTTACACATGTAGATAAATTACCCATTCAGTTTATATTTATAGTCATGTATCCAGCCATATGACTATAACATGTATAAATTAAACTTTCAGAAGTTTTATGTTTTTGGAAAATTAGAAGTCTTACATTAATTATATCACAACATTAACATATTTTTCATTTTTCAGTAAAAAAAGTCTTATTTAGTTATTCTATACCCAATTTATGTTTAACCATTTTTCCCCATAAATTTTTAGCACTTACTAGTTTTATTTTGGACATTACCAATTGCATTTATTGAAGGTTCCATGGAAACTTAGTTTCTAATAAATATGTATTTATAGCAGATATTCATTTGGAATAGTTTCGTAAACTTAAAATCTGATTTTAATCTGGTAGTCCCATGGGATTTCTTTCCTTTTGGAAGTATAAATTTTATTATTTTATTAGCCCTGATCATTGTCTCATGAAAATAGGTGTTTCATAGGTAGAGCTGGAAAACGTGAGCAACATCAAGCTTCCTAGGGCCTCTATTATCATGTAATCAAAGGCAAATCATTGTTCTTGACAAGTAATGGCAGTGGCCTCTGCAAACTCTGAGTCCTCATGACTGTAGGTACAATCCCTGCTACTCAAAGGAAGATCAAGAGCCCATGGGTATGTGTGATGTAACATGGTGGAATGGAAAAGACCACAGTATTGGCATCCTGCTTCCTCCATCTGATTATAACAATGGGACCTGGGGAAAATCACTTAACCTTTCCAAGGTATTTCATCAAATTCTATTGATGCCCAGTGAACCTCACAGCATTATTGTAAAACTCAACTGAGAAAAACTTCAAAAGCCTTTGGTAAAATGTTTAAGTAAATTCATGAGATTATTATGGTAAATTAGCAGACACAGGCTACAGCATCATTTTTAAGTTAGAATTCTCTTCATACTCACTATTAGCAATAATCAATCATATGTTTACTTTTATCTGTCATGAAGATAAAAACAAACTGGCTAATGGTGCTCTTCTTGTCATGACAGTTTCTAATGTGAAAGTATTGAACAACATAGAGTTAATAAAACTGCAAACTCCAAGGGACCCTCACTGCCTAAAACGCTGCAGAAAGTCCCAAGACATTCAACTCTCTTAAGAAAATGACCTAAGCACCCTGGCTCAAAATTGATTAAATTCCAAATGTTGGCAAAGTACAGAAGCACTTCTGGGAGCAACACAAGAATGCACAGAGTAGATTACATCTCAAACTATATATCTGTGCAAATATAATTATATATCTAAATTTACACAGTGGAAGGTGTTGATTCTTCCTCAGCTATTACAACACCAAATTATGCAGCTGAGGGCAATGGGAGCAATAAGGCATCCTTCCACAGGATTGCTTTTGATAATCTTGCCTGAATAGCTAGTGTCAGCATGGCTCTTGTTTTTATTTAAGCAGGGTCTCTCTGGCTGCTGCTGCTGGTGGTGTCAAATCTGCTCCTGTGCAAGAGTGTGGCCTCTGTGCCCATCTGTTCCAATGGGACTGTCAACTGCCAGATGTCCCTCCAGGACCTGTTTGATCGGGCTGTTGTTCTATCTCATTACATTCATAATCTCTCCACAGAAATGTTCTTCGAATTTGTAAGTACTGCATTTCTCACTTCATCCCAGGTGGAACCTGCACATGAATCATAGGGCCACTAAATGAACAACCTGAAAACTTCATGAGCCAAATTTCTAACAACACACTGTAATAGGTAATAATAATAATAATAAAGGAGTCGTAACAGCATACAGTTAACACACTTAGCAGCTAACCAAAAGGTTGAAGGTTCAAGTCACCCAGAAACACTTTGGATGACAGTCCTGGTGATCTACTTCCAAAGAGTCAGGCACTAAACCCTATAGAGTACAGTCCTACTCTGACACTTAGGGAGGTTGTCAAGTGTCAGAATCAACTTGAAGGCAACTGGTTTAGTGTTTAGGTGAAAGAAGGCATCAGCTAATGAAATGTGGGACAAGAAAGGAGCAGGTTGATGACATCTCAGCGTTTTCATTTTCTCAAAAACTGCAATGATTTCTGTTTGTTTGTTTTCTTTAATTTCCTCTGATTCACTTTATTTTAAAAAATTGCAAGTATGTTTTGAAAACTCAACAGAAAGTACTGTCAAGTGGGGGTGAGGAAAAGGAAGAGTGTTGATTTCTTGTTCTTTCAAGTAGGGGCCACGTCTCAGCAGGATCCTTCATCTAGCACATTGTAGATACCCTACAAATGAGAATTCCACTGCAGCATACTGGGTGGATTGAACACCATTTAATGGAGTTGAATTCCATATCAGGAAAAGAAGCAAATAATACCTTTTCACACACCCCAAAAGGAGTCATTGTTCTACTGTTTCCAGTGCATAGGTTTATAACTATAATAGAGAAGGTGATTTAGAAGTAGAAACAATCATCCTCTTAGTAATTAAGGTACTTTTGAAAGTTACATGTTAACTTTTCTAGGTCAGTTAAGAAGCAGACAATAGATTACTGCTTCAGTAAACCAAAGAGACTTTGTAGAGACTGTGGTTCAGTGTTTGTAATATATGTTCACATAGTTATTTTTACTCACTTACTGGTGCTCTTTTGTCTTCTTATTCTTCTTAGTAATCCTTTACATTTTCATAACATTTTACTAAAGGTTACTTTTTCTTTGTTAATGTATTAGCTAATTTTTCTTCTGTTCCTTTTCTGTCAATTCCTAAAATCTTATGATTGCTTTTCTCTTTTGGTCATGGTCAACAAAATTGTATTCACCATCTATGATGAAAATGATAAGGTACAAGGTAAGTGGATATAGAGTTTAATCAAGCAAAAGTTATAATTGTATAATGTCATTAAGTCAACCGTATCAACTCTGACCCATAGCAAACAAGAGATTTTGCAGCTAAATAGATCCATATACACTCTGGCATATAGCTCAAATATTAAAGACTAAATTAAAACATTTAGTGTTTTCTCTCCAAATAGCAACTTGTGGAAGGGTGACATTAAACAAGAGAATTCAAATGAATGGAAGAGGTTGGAATTTAGGAAAGTTCAATGAAAATGAGTTTATAGAGATAATAGAAAAGAGCTGCATAAGGAGAGGGAAAATTTTCCTAATTCTTTAGTTTCAATGTTTATGTAACTCAAAAAACCCAAAACCACTGTTGTCGAGTTGATTCTGACACACACACCCCATAAGACAGAATAAAATGGTCCCATAGAGTTGCCAGGCTGTACATCTTTATGGAAGCAGACTGCCTCATCTTTATTTCACAGAACAGTTGAAGGATTCAAACCACCAAATTTTGGTTAGCCACTTAATACTTTAACCACTTTGCCACTACTGCTCCTTAATGTTTATATAGCTCTCATTAAAAAAAAAAATCGTCCTTATCAAATGTACTAATATTCTACTAATGGTTACATTGGGAGCTTTGGTGGCATAGTGTCTAAGGCACTTGACTGCTAACCAGAAGGCTGGTGGTTCAAACCCACCAGCCACTCCTTGGAAGGAAGATGGGGCAATCTACTTCTGTAGTGATACTGCCTTGGAAACCCAAGGAGGGGTCACTATGAGTTGATCTAACTTGATGGCACATAACAACAACAACAATGGTTACATTTATTCAATGCCCAAACAACGCCAACTAATTGTCTTTGCTTGATCATTTCTAGGATAAACGGTATGGACAGGGCAAGGGTTTCATAACCAAGGCCATCAACAGTTGTCATACTTCTTCTCTCTCTACTCCTGAAGATAAGGACCAAGCCCAACAGACCCATGTGAGTCTCTTATCCTGAGTTTTCATCTAAAAGACTGAGGCAGGACACTGAAACTACTCAGCTGTAGTTTATTAAATGTGTTATAATAAGTCATGGTAATTGCATATGCAGAGAAAAGTGGAGGAGGAATAAGCAACAAAGAGAAATTATATTATGTGTTTGATGATGTTTGGGTAAAATTAAATGCTAGGATCAAAATTAATAGCAAATTCATATAACCTCCTTGTAGCTCCCAATGATTTAACCAATGCCTTTTATGTGGGTTGCAGATATGAAAGCTTGGCATGAATTGGACTCTATGTGTAAAATTTAAGATTTGTCAAATCTATGTAGATGTTAGACAATCAAGTTCAGTTTTATTTATTACACATATGTAGTGATTCCTCCATGGACAACATTTAACATTACTGACCTCTGAACTCTTGGAATCACCTCTTTCTGGACTTTTAAGTCTCTCCATCTGGTTTTCTTAATTATGACACCTTACTTCATTATTCTTCACTGGCTCCTCTGCTCCCTTCTACTTGGTTATAAGTTACCCCCAACAGCAACTCTTGTAATATATTTTGTTTCTCACAGCTGAAAATATTGCCTCTGTTCTGATGACAACAAAATCTTCCTATCAAGCCCCAATCATTTATTAATTAGCTTCATTTTTGTATCCTTATCATCAGATTCCCTTCTGATATAGTGTCATAACCACAGTCTTAACATAATCTAAAATATCCATCTTTACATATATACACTCACAGATACAATGTGCTCCCACTTTATAATTTTATTAATGGCACCAGTATTCTTTCTGTATGCTAAACACATTAATAATCATCATGATGCTAGTAATAAGTGAAAAAGAAGATGATAAATTGAATATTTATTGAAAGCTACTACATTTTCAGACACTTTACAAAGTACCTTATGTACGTTACTACATTCGGTCTTCATAAAAATCCTACAACATAAGATGCTGCTATTGCTTTGCTGAGATAAGGAAACAGAAACTTAGAAAGGTTATGGAATTTGTATAAGACACATGGGTGGTAAGCAAGAATGCTGAGTTTCATCCAATTCAAAGCCCTCATTCTCAATCATTATGCTACAATACTCCTAGAAACACTGTATGTCCATTCCCTATTTGACCTGCACCTTCTTACAGCTCCTTTCTTTCATTTTCCAGAACATGTTTCCATTGCAATGTCAATGCCGTCCTTCTCTATTCTTTATCTCCATTACCACTAGACTAGTTCAAGGACATCAACGGAGCAAGCATTTTAAAGCAGACATGATCAGCTACTTGGAGTTTCATGTGTGATCTTAGTAAAATACTAATGAATGAAGGGGGCAAAAACTTACATCGTGCTTTGCTTTGATACTGTTATTAGAGATAATGTTGTGCTGATTTATTCCGCAGCAAATCAATAACATATGACTGCTCTGAGAGCAGGTGGTGGGCAAGGGATGGGATTTATTGTGGAAAGCATGTTTGTGAATGCTGTATCCTTTTCATTTTCTTTTTGTTCTAATATCATAAAATAAAACTAAACATCACAAATGAATATGTAGTGTAAATGAATCATTGGATGTACATGATTTGGGCCCCTGGTCATTGACACTGGTAGAATCTGTCTGTCCTGAGACAGATACTATAGGCATTATGCTCATTTCCTAGAAAACTCATTGGTTTCTCCCCATGGACAAGCAAAGCAATCTAACATAAACAAACTCACAGTGTGAGAGAATTTCAGAGGGAAAACAAAATTCTTCATGTTATAAATCAGAACTTGCCTTAGAAGAAGCCAGATTTTTTAAAATTTATTATTTATTTTAACAAACTCTAGGCCAAGAAAGAAGCCCTGGTGGTGCACTCAGTTGTCAATGAAAAGGTCGGTGGTTTACATGCACCAGGCACTCTTCAGGACAAAGATGCGAGAATCTGCTTCTATAGCTTTATAGAGCAGTTCTACTCTGTCTTACAGTGTCCTAAGGAGTCTGAATTGACTCAATGAACAGCATACAACAATAGAAACATAGGTCAATAGCTGAAATTTTATATTTCTACAATTTGTATCACCTACAGAAATATTTTTGCATATCCATAGAAATAGCAAAGAGATAATTAGGTAGGTCTTTCTTAGTAAAAATCATATGTAAGTAAACCTGTTGTATCATGCTTTCCTTACTTATTTCTCTTTCTCATGACTGCAGCACGAAGAGCTTCTGAGCCTGGTACTCAGTGTGCTGCGCTCCTGGAATGACCCTCTGTATCATCTAGTCTCCGAAGTGCGTGGCATGCAAGAAGCCCCGGAAGCGATCCTGTCAAAAGCCATTGAGATTGAGGAACAAAACAAACGACTTCTAGAGGGCATGGAGAAGATAATCGGCCAGGTGAGCACCTGCTTTCGTTTCCTCATACATGAAAAATTGTCATCTGTGATGAGGTATGAGTGTTGAAGTATCTCACTTTGAAAGAATGAAAATGCAAGCTTTGTAGATTCTAGACTGCTATCAAAAAAAGCAAGGGGTAACAATTCATATAAAATTAATATGTGATTTTGACTTATTAGAGTTACAGCAAACCACACATACAACTCTTTTTTTTTTTTCCTTTTGGTACATCTTATTAATAATATGCATGTATTAATGTAGATGTGGAAGATCATATGTGATGTTTCCAACCCTCAAAGGCAAATCCAAACATATGATCTTCCACAACTCATCACCCTTGAACTGATTCGACTTTAAGCTACCTCTCCTTGGGTTTCCAAGGTGGTGTCTCTACAGAAGTAGATTGCCCAATCTTTCTTCCAAGGAGTGGCTGGCAGGTTTGAACCACCAGCCTTCTGGTTAGCAGTCACATGCTTTAGGCACTATGCTGTTGGATTTCTAAAGATACTGATAATAACATACATTAATAATTAAAACTTAAGAAAAAAACAAACAAAAAAAGAGGTATTCAACTTAAGTCAGAACCGACTTAAAACTGAAAGACATGGGAACAGAACCCCACCCTAAGTCAGGAACTACCTCTCATAGATTCCAAGGCAAGTCAATCTTAGAATTCTGCTGTGATGTTTAATAGATGCACCATTCTCTATGTTAAAAACCATTAAAGGATTGTTCCTTCCTGGGGGCAGATGGTTAAATATTTTCAGGGAAAGATAACTAGAGCTGAAGTTGCAAGATAAATGTTTCCTTCAAAGTATCCCAGGACACCCACTATTGAAATTCTGGTCAAATGAGTCCTGTTTTCTCCCCACACAAAAAGATATAAATGGGAAGGGAGAAAAAACATCAGAATCTCATTGGCTGATGGCCCACAGCACTAGATTTCAGAGGCCCACCAAAGAAGGTTATCTATTTTGAAGCTTTTCTTTTTGTTCTTTTTTAATTTTGTAACCTACAGAAAAATATCTCATTCTAATTTTTTCTTGGGGTGCTAAAATCAAACATATCATTCCATTTAGTCTCCCCAAATAATGTGTCATATTTATGTTGACTTAATATTTGCAACATATATCTGTATTCAGTTGGGTAATTTCAATGTTAGTCAGCTTTCTAAAGTTCAGTAATAATGTGTCATCTAAAGAAAAACATATGATTATAGGAATAAAAACAGAAGCAATTTTATACTTCTTATTGTTTACTAAGTGCATGTTATCATGTGCCATTTTTGTCATTTTCAGAGGAGAAGAATATATCCAACACAAATACAAAGCACATTTTAACCTTGGAAAGTATTAGATAAACACCTAGATTTTCAAGTTACTTTCTTCATTGCAGTGGACCTATTTTCTGAAGTCACAATTTAATTTGTTCTATGATGCTTCATTTTCTCTTCTGTTTTTCCAACTGTTTATTTGCTTTTTTCTTGTTTATGTCAATGTCCCATGCACAGTAAATTTGTCCTAATGCTCAAACACCAAATATAAAAAGCATAAACCAAAAACCAAACTCACTGCCATTGAGTCAATTCTGACTCATAGTAATCCCCCTTTGGTTTCCAAGGCTGTAAATCTTTATGGGATCATAATGCCTCATCTGTCTTCTGCAGAGCAGCTGGTAAGTTCTAACCACCAGACTTTTGCTTACCAGCTAAATTCCTTAACCACTATACCACAAGAGTTCTTTAAAAAGCATAAAGAAGACAACAAATATCTATAATATTTTCATATTATATATTCTTTTACTATATATAGGAGCTCTGGCAGCATAGTGCCTAAGGCACTTGACTGCTAACCAGAAGGCTGGAGGTTCAAACCCACCAGCCACTCC